GTTGCCTTTTCAGGTTTTCAACTTTGCGGGTTCATTCTTTTTATTTTTCCCTAATTTTTGCCCGAACCTTTTTCTTTTTATGATTCGCCGGGATGCCCCATTTTTGCCTGGACTTTTCTTTTTATGTCCAGCGGGTCTCTTTTAAGCAAAGTATTTTTTAACCACGTCCGCGTTCACAGGGGACGAAAAATCTTCACCATCCATAGTAGATAGCAATAAGGCTCCGCCAGAGAAAAACTTTCTTACCACATACGGATCTTTATACTTAGGAGTCTATTTTCCCTTGTGATCTGTCTGAGGAGGAAAGATCCTTTTCAACACCAAATCACCCATCTGGAAGTACCGAGGACGCACTTTCTGATCAAAGGCTTTCTTCATCCTACTCTGGTACAACCGGCCATGCGCAATGGCTGCCAATCTCTTTTCGTAAATCAAGTTCAGCTGATTCAACCTGGTTCGCACCCATTCAACTTCGTCAAGCTTCACATCTGACAAAACCCTTAAAGAAGGAATCTCAACTTCTAATGGCAGGACTGCTTCCGTACCATACACCAGTGAGAACGGAGTTGCCCCGGTTGATGTACGCACCGAAGTATGATAACCGTGAAGAGCAAAAGGCAACATCTCGTGTCAGTCCTTGTAGGTCACAACAATCTTCTGCACAATCTTCTTGATATTCTTATTAGCTGCCTCAATAGCACCATTCATCTTCGGACTATATGGAGAAGAATTATGATGTTCGATCTTGAAACTCTAACACAGTTCCTTCATCATTTTGTTATTCAAATTTGAACCATTATCAGTAATGATTCTCTCCGAAATACCATAGCGACAAATGATGTCCTTCTTTATGAATCGGGTGACCACCTGTTTCGTGACATTGGCAAATGATGCTGCTTCTTCCCACTTCATAAAGTAATCAATCGCAACCAGAATGAAGCGATGTCTATTATAAGTAGTCGACTCAATCTTTCCAATCACATAAATTCCCCACATGGAAAAGGCCAAGGAGACGTCAACACATTCAAAGGAGCTGGTGGCACATGCACCTTATCCGCATAAATCTGGCATTTATGGCATTTTTTGGCATATTTGAAACAATCGGATTCCATAGTCATCCAATAATATCTAGATCTCAACAATTTTCTAGCCATTGCATGTCCACCGGCATGAGTACCAAAAGAACCCTCGTGGACTTCCTCCATCAATAGGTTTGCTTCAAGCTAATCAACACAACGCAGCAAGACCATGTCGAAATTTCTCCTGTAGAGCACATCATCCTTGTTCAAATAAAAATTATCGGCTAACCTCCTCAGAGTTTTCTTATCCTTGCTGGATGCCCCAGATGGGTACTCTTGAGTCTTGAGAAAATGCTTGATATCAAAATACCAAGGCTTTCCATCGGACGCTTTCTCAACGGCAAACACAAAAGCAGGTCTATCAAGACACATGATGGTGATAGCAGGAGTTTCATTCCAGAAATTCAATTTATACATCGAAGCTAGCGTGGCTAAGGCATCCACCATCTGATTCTCAGCCCTCGGCATATGATGGAAATCAACTCTATCTAAGAAAGGCATCAGTCTCCTTGCATAATCTCTATAAGGCACCAGGTTGGCCTGACGAGTTTCCCACTCTCCTTTGAGTTGGTTAACGACTAACGCTGAGTCACCGTATACATCCAGATTCTTAATCCTCATATCAACGGCCTCTTCTAAACCCATAATGCAAGCTTCATACTCGGCTTTATTATTGGTGCAAGCGAATGTCAACCAAGCGGTGAACGGTATGTGAGAACCGTGAGGAGTAGTAATGATCGCACCGATTCCATTACCATATGAATTAACCGCTCCGTCGAAAACCAATTTCCACTGAGATTCTCTCTCAGGACCCTCGTCAGGTAAATGCTCATCACAATCTTTCATTCTCAGAAACATAATGTCTTCATCTAGGAAGTCAAACTTCATCGGCTGATAATCCTCAATCGGCTGATAATCCTCAATCGGCTGATAATCCTCAATCGGCTGTTCCGCGAGATATTCCGACAGGACGCTTCCCTTGATGGCTTTCTGGGAAACGTACTGAATATCATACTCCGTTAACACCATTTGCCATCGGGAAATCCTTCCGAAGAGTTGTTTTTCAAAGACATATTTGATTGGATCCATCTTTGAAATCAATAGGGTTGTGTGGTTTAACATGTACTGTCTCAAACGCTTTGCGGCCCAAGCGAGTGCACAACATACTTTTTTCCAGCATCGAGTACCTCGACTCGCAATCGGTGAATTTCTTACTCAGGTAGTAGATGTCATGCTCTTTTCTACCTGACTCGTCCTGTTGACCGAGCACACATCCCATTGAATTCTCAAGAACCGTGAGATACATGATGAGTGGTCTCCCTGCAACTGGAGGCATGAGTATTGAAGGTTCCTGTAAATATTCTTTTATTCTTTCGAAAGCCTTCTGGCAATTTTCATTCCACTTGTCCGTTTGATCTTTTCTCAGCAATTTGAATATTGGTTAACAAGTGGTTGTAAGATGAGATATAAACCTTGCAATGTAGTTTAATCTCCCCAAGAAACGATTGCATCCCAAATTTTGAACCCTTAGATCGTCATCATCATTTTAGGATCATATTCATTTGATCAACTAACCTTAACCCATTTCAAGTTTATCTTTGTCAAGATGCAGATGAATCAGGGTTCCGTACCGTCAAAATCAAGGCCTCGATGGTTGATCAATCAATGTTTTGGATTGATTCAACTATAAACAAGATCAAGAATACTACATTGGGTCAAGTATGAATTTAATTTGAGGTGCTCACCCGAGAATTGAGAACAATGCAGTTCAAGATACCCGATTAGGGTTTTCGATCAACAAAAGTCAATTGTAGTTTGAACTTTGATTTAAAAAGTGTTTCAATGGTGGAATCTTGGTCCATTAAGTTCCTATGGCTTATTAAAGTCTATCCAAAGAGTTTCTAGTCCTCAGAATACCCGGAACCCCAACAATCGACTCGGTAGTCACCGATTGATCGAACGGTTGACCGAAAAGTAAACTCTTCAACAATAAGGAATTTGACTTCAATATGTGAATAAAAAATGTTCCTTATGTCATATTACACCTTCCCATAAAATTTCATGACCATTGGATTAAGGGTTAAGAAGTAATTGCAAAAATCGGAAATTAGGGTTTTGAAAGGGGCAAGACCATAACTCCTCAACCACACATCCAAATGAAGTGGTTCAAATCTCATTGGAAATCTCTTGACAAGTACTACAAAAGTCTCAAAGTGGTCCATGATCAAAAAATGCATAGATTTGGAGTTATGACAAAATTCATTTCAAGAAGGGAAATAACTTGGAAAAATTCTAAGTTATTTGGCTTTTTTAAGTGATTTTTTCAGCAACTTGGAAGGGTTTTTCAACCTAGTTCCATCTAGAATTTGGAAATCTCAAAAACATGAAAGTTATAGAGCTACTTGAGGGCTTTCTAAATTGTGGTAGAACTCCTCAATAGAACTACTCAAATATGACATTTTTTACGAGACGAATGGAGTACAAGCTTTAGTAGAAAATAAAAGTTACCCTTAACTAAAAGAATAGTTGAATAAAGTGAAAGTTAATAAATAAGGATATAACAGTGAAAAAATAATAATACATATTATATTGGTATTGTAAAAAAACAATTATTTTAAAATACAGAAAAAAAAATATAAATGAAACACTTTTTATGAGATAGATGAAGTACTAGTGTGAATCATCTCTTACCTAATAACCTTTTCCAAGAGATAAATAATAGTTATTAGTAAATACGATCTATTGGTACAAGTTTCAATCAATTAAACCTTTTCTTGTTTAAGGGATACATAGTATTAAACTCTTAAACAATAGAAACTGATCCACATCAAATTTTAATTTCATGTTTTGGATGATTCATGCTAATTGACAAGGGAACATACTCTCTTGAGATCAATTAAACTAATTGAATTACGATCAAGAAGTGCTATAAAATGAAAAGTATTTGGTAAAATGGTAAAATAAGATGTTAAGTTAAATATAAATGAGTAAATCTTCAATTTGATTTCTAAACTTCCACTATGTCTTTTATATGTTCATGAAACATAAAAATGTAATATATAATCTCTAAACTATGTTTTTTATATGTTCATGAAATATAAAAATGTAATATATAATCTCTAAACTTTTTACAATCTATCAAGTTAATCACTAAACTATCACACTCCTACAGCACTTGCACCTTGTGGAACCCCTCTATCTAACCTTGTAGGTGAAACCTGGGATGGAAGTAGATAGATCAACCTTTGTTGCCACAAGAACAAATTTTCCAATTTCTTGTATTTCTTCAAGTTATCATGGACTCCTTACAATGGCTAAAACAACAATTTCATTGCAATTCACGGGAAAGAACCACTAAAATCAACACAAATCACGACCATGACCACAGCAGCTGCGCTACACGACCCGAATTCACCATCCTAGTAGAAAAGCACCCATCAAAATCAAAGCTGGTATCAAATTCTCAGCTGACTGGCTTTTCACCATTGTATAATATATGCGCCCATGAAACAGCCAAAATTTATAGCAATAGAATTGTTAACTTGACAAATTCTCTCGTGTAACTTGTCAGTACATCACATAGGCAAGTTAAACATTTAAGAGATGAAATTGGACATGAGTCTTGGGGTCCAAAACAAAAGAGAGAGCTTATTGAGTATCATTGCCATTGAGTTTAATTCTGTATGTTGAATATGCATTATAGCTTATACTTTTGTCATCAAATTCCACTGCTTGCTGCCAAACGAAGCATTTTATTAACTTGTACAACAATGGAATAGATCACATATTGAGTCTAAGTTATGATCCGACTATAGAGAAATATCGACACATGCATCATTCAACCTTTGGAGTTTCTATTGTTGTTTGGTACCACCGTAGTGTTGTGTTACAGAGCTTCATCAATCTTCCCTATAGATCCCTCTAAGCAACACATAAACTTGAATCCAATTTAACCTCAGGTTCAACCCAGCTAAATCCAGCTACCTTCTTCAATCCAGGGCCTCTCATTGTTTTTCTTACTCTATTAGCATCCTCCCACCTTTCAGAGCTTGCATAGAGATTGGATAATAAAGCAAGAGTACCAACACCAACATTTTTGTCACCTAGTTGCCCCCTAACCCATTCAAACATCTCTTCATTACCATGAATTTTACAAGCCTGAAGAAGAGAACCCCAAATAGGTCCCTCAGCTTCAACAGGCATACCTCTAATGAAAGCCACAGCTTCCTCAAACATACCAGCACGTCCATACATATCTACTATGCAACCATAATGCCTCATCTGTGGCACAATGCCATAACTATCTCTCATAGCTTTGAAGAGCATCATTCCATCACTAACCAAACCAACATGGCTACATGCAGACAACAACCCAATAAAAGTTACATCATCAGGTAAAACCCCATGAACCAACATTTGTGAAAACATCTGCACAGCTTGTTTGCCATATCCATTCATAGCCAATCCACAGATAACAGTACCCCAAGAAATAACATCCTTACGAACAACCATGTTAAATACCTTCAACCCCATTTTCACATCACCACATTTAACATACATGTTAACCAATGCATTTCCAATATTTCCATCAATACCAAGGTCAATCCTTTTGTCAATATAAGAATGCACCCAACACCCCAAACTCAAAGAACCAACAGAAGCACAAGCTGACAACACAGTTACAACCGTTGCCTCATTAGGTTCAGCTTCTCCACTAACCACCATTTGTTTGAAAACCTCAACAGCCTCATCACAGTGTCCTCCACGTGCATAACCCATTAATAAAGTAGTCCAAGAAATAACATCCCTTTCAGACATTTTCACAAACACGTTATGCGCATTCAACAAAGACCCACATTTTGCATACAAATCCAACGCAGCGTTGTAAAAAACAATGTTCCCATCAATCAGTAACTTCATCCCGTAAGCGTGAATAGCTTTACCAAATCTAAGAGCTCCGAGAGTCGAACAAGCGGAAAAAGCACTTACGAGAGTTAACACATTAGGCTTCACGTTCATGGAAGAGAACGCGTCGATGGCTTTGGATTCGAATCCGCATTTTGATAGACCAGATATCAGTGAGGTCCATGAAACGACGTCGGGGGAAGGAATTGATAGAAAAACGCGCGTAGCTGAAACGACGTCGTTGGAGGAAAGGTAGAAGTGGAGGAGCGAGTTGTGGATGAAGCGGTCGGAGATGTGACCGGATTTGATGAGACGCGCGTGGATTTCGAGACCTTTGGAGATCGCGTGAAAATAGGTACAAGCTTTGAGCGCGTGGGTGAAGGTGTAGTAGTTGTGAGATGAAGAATCAGAAAAAGAGAGCATTTGGTTGTAGAGATTGAAGAAAGCATTGCCATCGTCTTCGTGAGATTTTGCAAGGAGTGCGAGGTTTTGGTTTAGCAATTGGGGATTAGGGTTTCTGATTAATTGAAATTGAGCGTGTTTCGCAATTTGATTCAGATTTTGAAGCCTCATTTGTATTCTTGTTAAATTGTTATTGTTCCCTCCAACCCAAATTGGATCTGGGTTATAAAAAAGACCGGGTCAAGTTTGTTTAAACGGGTCGACCCGGTTTATGTTGCAAAAATATATACCTTGTTGCGCCTTCTAATTCTAAGCTCACGGCTCCTACAATAACTTTGAACACTGAACGAGATTCTTCATTCAATTCGATTTTACTCTCTTGAATTCTTGCTTTCGTTTTTGCGTTTTAGTAGCTAGTGGATGGTGTTGGATAGTTTGATTCAGGAGAAAAGGTATGTAGTATATGCTTGTGCTGAAATGCACACTAGGTGTTTGAGAAAATGACTAAAGCAGAGATACTGTTTTCTATTTATATGGTTCTTCTCATTTTGTTGTATGTTTTTGTTGTTCACAGAATTTGAGGCAGAGCAAGTGAGGGATAAGTTATGGGCAAAGCTTCAAGAGATAAGAGGGTATGGTTGATTTAACTAATTGTTCTTTTATTGTTTTGTCTTTTTTGGGGGTTGAATTCATCTTAGCTAAATTGGTTTCTAGGATATTTATTACCGGAAAGCAAAAGAAGAAGGTTGGCGTGCTCGAAGTGCCTTTAAACTCCTTCAGATAGATGAAGAATTCAATATTTTTGAAGGTATGTGTTTTCTACCTTGAAAGCCTGTTTTTAATTTTACTTCGTACCATAATGATTGACCTATTTGGAATAAAAGAGTATCTTAAAATGAATGACCCATTTCAATTTCCAATGCATCTTTTCTAATTTTACCCTATAATTAATATTACTTTCATCATTCCTAATACATGATAAGGATATTGTAGTAAAAATATCATTCTCTTTCTTTCAATTATTCTTTTTTTTTAATTGGTATGAAATGGTCAACCGGGTCACTTATTGTGGGATGGAGGGACTGCAAGTTTGTTGAGCTTCCTTTTTGCTCGTTTTAGCAGAGATATTAGGAGCTAATGTTTCAGAAATAATGGAAGGTTCTATCAAGCATTTTGCTTACAGTTTCAAGTTTGTTATTTCTGCAGGGGTAAAACGTGTTGTAGATTTATGTGCTGCACCAGGTAGCTGGAGTCAGGTATTGCCGATGAAATTATCACTGGCCTGGCATATGATTTGTGTAGAAAATCACTAAAATAAGAAAACTTAGTGTCAACTAGGGTTGGGTCACCTAGTAGCATTAAATGTAATTGACACGGAGGTCTTGGTTTAGATATCTTCTGGTAATCCTTCATTGATAGGCCATCTGTGAGCTTTCACTGCGAGACCTGTTGTATGCTCTAACTTCAGAATGGAATAGCATCCCTTATTCCTAAACTTATATTAAGAAAAGCCCACTCGCCCGTGTTGTGATTTTAGCTAATGCATTTATTCTTTTCCCTACAATATTATTTCCATAATTGTCCTAACATTATCACACTTTAAGGAAGGCTTTGAATTTAAACATGGAGGTCATTATCATTGTTTAAAGACATAGTTCCATGATTTCTCGTTTTGTGGCAAATGTCAATAAACATTTGTCTTGTTTACAATAAACATTCATAAATCTCATTTGGCAACCATTCTGATATATCTAAATAATACTTAAATTTTTGTATGCAGGTTTTGAGTCGTAAACTGTACCTTCCAGCAAAGCTTGCACCTGATGCAAAGTAAGCTGATTTTCTTTGGAAGTTCTATGCTTTGTTAAGGATTTCCTTTACAATGAGGTCTCGTATCCTGTAAATGCAATCTAGGACTTTGGATTGAAATTAAGCTCCATCAAACTATACTCTCTTTTTCTGTTGGTCATAATTGCGTTCATTTGATAACCTTTTAGTATTGTTTTTATAAAAGAAGAATTTCATTGAGCTACCCTGATATGTTATGCGAGGCACGATCTCTGAAATCTCTGAATTTGTTCATTTTTTTCTTAATGTTTTGTTTTGAATTCGTTGATTTCTTCCTTTTCTTTTTTTGTTTGTGCAGTATTTTATGTTAAGGATGACCCTTTGCCTTCCGAACACTGTTAATTATTCTAGCAGTATCGTTAACTTCATGCTGTATCATGATACACAGGGATGAAAATCTTCCTCTTATTGTAGCTATTGATTTGCAGCCAATGGCACCAATTGAAGGTGTTATCCAGGTGCAGGGTGATATAACTAATGCTCGGACTGCTGAAGTGGTATGTACAACATGTTACCTTTAATTCTCTTAATAGGTGTATTTTTTTTTTCTTTTTGAAACGGGTTCTCAGTATGCCACTCTTGTCTCAGTAGTCAGAAACCAATATCAATTCTTTTTCTTATGTAAACTTTGTTCCTCAAGTTTCATCATGCGACCAGGTTCATTAGCAATTTAGATTTATTGGTACATGTGTAGGCATTACGAGTCTCATTTGATATAGTTCTTTCTCCAAACATTTATGATAGAACATAATGATGTTATTGATTTATATCTCCATCTCGACCTAGTGAAAAAAGGTTTTTGTTATTTCTCCTCTGTCGAACATAATGATTTTTTCTGCTTTCTTTTGTTACACTTTGTTTGTTTTTCCTTTTTTCTTTTTCTTTTTATCCCAATTGTTTTTGTTCAGTTCATGTTGTTGAGGTTGCTTTATTCCAGCGGTTAACTTTTCGTTGATGACTATTGCACCAATGTTTGCAAACATTTTATTCTCTTGTTCTATTCAGGTCATCAGACATTTTGATGGTTGCAAGGCCAACTTGGTTGTGTGTGATGGTGCTCCTGATGGTAAAGAAAATGCATAATTTAAACCCGATATCTTGATACGTAACATTTACCAAACAGTTACAATGATGCGGTGTTTCACTTAACCTCAACCTCTTTCATGGGACCTACGAGAATCAATTTATCTCTCTTCAGTTGCTCCATGATGACATTTATAACACATTCCATGGAAAAACTCTTTATGATACTTAGTCTTTTCCTCGCTTTGGTTTGTAGTTTAAAAATATAGCTTAATTATTTTGCAGTTACTGGGCTTCATGATATGGATGAATTTGTTCAATCCCAACTCATACTTGCTGTAAGTTCTTAATTTCTGTCATTATTTATATTTTTATTATTATTATTATTATTATTATTATTATTATTATTATTATTATTATTATTATTATTATTATTATTATTATTATTATTATTATTATTATTATTATTATTATTATTAATTACTTTGTATCCTTTTGGTTTGCCATCTTGATGCTTGATTGTTTATCATCCTTGTCTAAAATTGGGGATGACAAACAATATTGAAGGCTCTGAAATCAGTGACCTCGCCTTTAATATTTATTCTGCTTTAACCTCTTGCCAAGCAACGGTGTATAAATTTATGCTTGCTATTTCCAATCAGGCTACATCCTTGTCTAATAAGCATATATCAGTAGTGCACATTTGTAGGGGTTGATGCTAATTAATTACTCCTTGTAGGGGTTGACAATTGTTACTCATGTACTGAAGGAAGGAGGGAAATTTATTGCAAAGATATTTAGAGGAAAGGACACAAGCCTTCTATACTGTCAGGTACTTGAAGCTTCCCTTTGCCATTAAGATTTTAGGCATTGGAGACAAAAACATTGTTTAACTTGGCATAAATATGTTTAGCTTTAATCTCTTGCAGTCGTCCACCTATTAATTAGGTTTTGTAACTTCTGTGGTGAAGGGACACTTGATGCTCATCTCTGAAATTTATGGTTAACCAGAGAATAAAATTTCCGAATCTTTGTAAACAATGAAAGTGATACATATACCACTAAGACTTCTAACTTTGAAAGTTAGGTCATAGAAAAGATCCAGAGTTTTGCCAAAATTCTGAAGGGAAATAATGGGCCAAATGATTGCTAACAAAGTAATTGACTTTGAAGATTACTTTTCTGAACTGTTTTCTGTCACTTGTAGTATGTCTTTGTCTAGTTGGAATTTAGAACCTACTCGTTACCATCTAAAATTTTCATTGTACTTCTGAAATTTTTTTGTTGCTCTGCTTTCTGCTAAAATAAGTCATTGTAAGTGAGAAGTGGTAAAGGTGTATCATAGTCTGTGAATACAAAAGTCATATTTCCATATACTAAGTAGCACTTAATTCCATATAAGTGAGAAGTGGTAAAGGTGTATCATAGTCTGTGAATACAAAAGTCATATTTCCATATACTAAGTAGCACTTAATTCCATATACTAAGTAGCCTTTTTTGCTTGCAGCTAAAATTATTTTTTCCGGTGGTGACTTTCGCAAAACCAAAAAGCAGCCGTAATTCCAGCATAGGTAAGAATTTTAGTTTCCAGCTTTGTTTGTTACAATTTTTGACATGCATATATTTTCAGCTCTTTATAGCTTATTTATGAACTGTATCGGGGAGCATTTGCCATAGCTTAAGAATTGGCAGTCATGCTACTCATTAAGGGTCTATTTCGATTTACTTATTTGAGCTTATCTATTGTCATAAGTTTCTGACACTGTTTGGAAGATCTTATCAAAACAGCCTATGACATTTTTTATATATATTTTTGAATTTATTTTTATAAAGTCTTCAAGATAGCTAGTGAAAACAACTTATGACATATATAAAAGAAATTTAAATGTATTTTATCTTTTGTTATAAAAACAGCTAATGCTAGCTTATTCATAAGCGCTTATTTTGTTAAGCACTTGTGCTGTAAGCTGCAAATAAGTAGTTTATCCAAACAAACTCTCTATGTGACAGAAGCTTATATATTATCTAACAACGTATGAGGTTCAAATATACTATTTGTTGAATTTAGTTGTTCCTCTTGTGCTTGTGCCTCCAAATGCCTTGCAATACGGGGGAAAAGTAGGTTAATACTATCTGTGCTAATTCTTGTTTTTATTCCACCCCTGCAGAGGCATTTGCAGTTTGTGAAAACTACTCCCCTCCTGAAGGATTCAATCCGAAAGATCTTCATCGGCTACTTGAGAAAGTTGGAAGTCCATCAGGGGTTGAGGATACAGGTATGCCAGTCCTTAAGAGCAATCATAAAATAGGAATTAATTTAGCTTCAATTTCCCCCATTGAATGAAGTCTGCTTAATTAATCATAATACCAACTTTTTGTTGTTGAATTTCATTGTATCGCGTATGCTTATTTTGATGGCATTGATCCGGAGTAATTAATTTGATGGTGTGGTTGCAGATTGTGTTAGTGGGTGGTTGGAAGGCTCTAATAAGGTGTATATCCCATTTCTAGCTTGCGGGGATCTCACTGGATATGACTCTGATAGGTCATATCCACTACCTAAAGTTGTTGGAGGAACATATCAGAGCTTGGATCCAGTACAACCACCTATTGCCCCTCCTTACAAGAGGGCCCTAGAGTTAAAGAAAGCCTCAACTCAAGGATTCAGAGAACTTGAAAATCTCTCTTTGGATTCCTGATCTTGCATATCCACTGTTTATTCATAATGCCTTAAATTCCTTGCTAGCCTTTTCTTGTCACTGTTTTTTAAATGGATACAAATTATTTCATGGATAGTTATCCGAATTTATTATCTGCTTCACTAGATAACAACCTTGATGATGTTTAAACTGTTTGTAATCTAGTTGAATTAGATTGAATTGAGATTTAGTTCGATGTATTTTCTTTTTTTGACACACACAGTTAGACACTAAAAGCTCTTCTTTTTCTTGAATTCCTCTTAAAATCATTTTTATATTGAAGATTCATTTTTCTCTTTTTTTTTTTAATGAGTTTATCCTGGTCATCTTCATATTTAAATAAATCAAGCATACACATAGTTTGGAATTGATGCATAAGTTCAACCCCCTCTTTTTGTGTTTGGTCATAACTCACAGTTAAAGTGGGATCATTGGCCCAATTAAGAGGAAACCGATATGTCTCATCTTTTTCATATATGACTTTTGAGAATTGGGCACTATCCCTTCCAAGGAATTTGTCCTTCCAGCCCTTATAGTTTGACGTGAAGGGGAAAGGATGGATCGCCTATGCATGGCGTTCATAGAAATCTAATCTCCTTTATACGTTTTTCTTTACTCATAAAAAGAAAAGATGTCAATAGTGGATGTAATATTGAGACTCCAACATATTACCTCAAACGGATAAATGGATAAATGCCTAACTATTAGGATAAAGTTAGGAAGGGGCGACATTTAAGGTTCTCATAACCTTAAATTGGAAGATAGAAAACGAGACATCCACGCCAAAATATTCAATGATGTTAGGGTAGAAGTAAAAATACTCATCGGATAAGTCGAGTGGTCTCTGCATACAAACCTTCGTGCCCAAGATACAGGGTTCGAACATGATATTGACATTGCCATCGGTATTAGATAATTTCAGCCGATCTCAGAAGTTTTTCACCCAAGAATCGTTGAGGTAAACTGAGTCATAACTCAAAACCTCCTCATTAAAAGAGTTGGTGGGAAGCTCTGTGATGATCTCGACCGAACCTGAGGAAGAAGAAAATGATTCAATGTCGCTATCATTATAAGTGGTATCAAATACGACGAGATACACCTCTTTTTCTAGAAACTCTCAATCCACCTTTCTTGTAGCGCATCTAGACGCTTCCACACTGTTTTTAGAGTGCATACCTCTCATACTCTCTCACTTTCATCACACTCGTGAATTAGAACCATTTAAAACGTTAGGCGGGGATAAAAAGGAAAGGAAATGCATTACCTGGATTAGAAAGAAAGAAGGGAAGGCTCGAGGAGAAAGAATTTCGGTGTAGGAAACTTATAAGCGTGGGGGAGAGAGAGGTTTGGTTGTACTTCTAAAAAACTAGTGAAGTGTATGGAGATAAAAACCATTATTTAAACAAGGCTTTATGTACATTATGAAGGTGAGAAAAATACACAAGAAAGGGGTTGAATTGTGTTCTCCAAATTTGTTTCTTCTTTAAAACATAGTTCAAATTCTAAACAAAAGTTTAGAACCTGATAACAGTTGCAGCAGATATCAACAGAAGTAAATAAAAGATAAAGAATACAACAGATTTATCCTGATTCCTCTTAAACTGAGAGTAGTCTAGTCCCCTTGCAGCGCAAGAGATTTCTCACTATAATCAAATCATGATTACAATTGCTTATACATTTAAGCATAAGACTTTTCTTTGCTCAGACCCTCAGCCCGAAGCTTCCTGCTTAAACCTCTCAGATTCAAAACTTCCTGTTTAGACTGCAGCCTAAGACTTTCCTACTCAGATTTCACGAATTCAAGACTTCCTTACTCAAGCCCCTCAGGCTCAATACATCCTTGCTCAAACCCTCAAGTCCAAGACTTTTCTCCTTAGGTTTCACGAACCCAAGACTTCCTACTTAAACTTCTCAAGCTCAAGACTTCCTACTTAAACTTCTCAAGCTCAAGACTTCATTGCTCATACCGCAGCCTAAAACTTCCTTACCCAGGTTCCACGAACCCAAGACTTCTACTCATATCCTCAAGTACAACACTTCTTCTTAGACTCATAGTTCAAGACTTCCTTGGTTAGTCAACAGCTGATAAATACTTTAAATGCTCTAGCACATATCATGAGACTTACTTGGCTAAAGCTTCTCAGCAAGAGACTTTGATGCTCAAGCACATAGCAAGAGACTTTATCTAAACTACTCAACAACCTGTTTAGCAGAATAGAGACCAAGGTGTATTTGATACAAAATCATAGGTACAGGGTAATCACCATAACAAAGACCTTAAGCACTTAAGTTTATAAGATATTCAATGGTTAAGAAATCTTAAGACTTTGTACAATTCACAACATATAATAGAATTTATGCATACTCGATTGTGTTGCTTATTATTGATCTTGTTATTTCTCCACCCAGATATAAGTGTGAAACACTCATAGCCTTCTTGGCTTTCCTTATTTATTTTTCTTGCTCCTTGTTCTTTCTTGAAAATTTAGATTGAATCTTCAGCTACTTATATAGCAGTTGTAAAAGACTAACCGTTGGAAGAGATAACTTGTACAATTGTCTTTGTTTCTCCATAGTACAAGAGACATTGAAGATAGATACACCAAAAAATATTAATCTATTGTGTTACTTGTTTAACCATTGTGTCTTCCATCTAATCTTGTACTATAGACCCGTTGAGAGTAGATATTCGTAAATCATGTCAACTCTTCTTGAGCCTTGTGAACTTAGACTCTATCTGACAAACTGATTTGACAATGCATCTTACTTTCTGCAGTACGAATAACTTTAACTTTATTACTAACTCTGAATGTTCACCAGAAGCTGATAAATTTACTAAGTGTAGAGACAATATGTTTCACTTCGGATGGTGAGGCCTTTAGCTTCAGAGTATACGCCAAACATCATTTAGAGAGTGTTCTTCAGATTCTGAACCACCAGAGACTAGTAACTCAGCTTCGTTTAAATACGTCCTTATATCATATTCTGATTGTATTGTCTTTAAGATTTAGAACCTGCATACTTGAAATACACATCAGATAACACCATTGTTCTTTCAATACTTTGTTATCATTAAAACCCAAAGGATATATGTCATGAACAAATCTTGTTCTAATAATCTCCCACTTATTAATGATGACAAACATAAGTATTTAAAGAACAATGTTGGACAATTATCATTTTCATAGAAACATCAAGGTATGAGGTTTGTAAGCTCCCCCTGAGTCTAATAGTCCAAGGTTGAATTCTGTAAACTCCCCCTAAGTACTATATTCAAGAAAAAAACATTTTAATTTTCTTAGCAACATCAGAGTCTGAAGTTTGTAAGCTCCCTCTGAGTTTAATAGTCTAAGGTTGCGGTTTGTAAACTCCCTCTTAGTTCTATATTCATGAAAACTAAAATATATCACCCAGGCAAAATAACTAAAATAATAGAAATTTAAAAGTACAATAAATTATAAATGAACAAAATTAAATCTGAAGGGTTCAGATTGTTTATTAAATACTCTTATATTTTTCTCCCCCTTTTGTCACATCAAAAAGATTTTAAAAAAATATGAGAGGTGACAATTAAAGAAAATGTTGAACAGAAGTGCAATATTCCAAGATGGTCAATGATACTTTAAAGAGTTAAGAGTAGTCAGAGTCAAGTAAATGTTGGACAAAAGTGCAGTGTCTCAAGATGTTCAAAAATCAGTTTTTATTGGTGCATAGATTCCATATTTATACTTGAACGAATACTCAAAGCTCACTAAAAAATCATATTGACATGGTTTCCTCAAGAATTCATCCAGTTCTCAGAAATACTTCAAGCAAAAGCTAGTTATGAAGAGAAAATCTCATAACTGAATTCCTCACAAGAGTGAAAAACGAGGTTTTGCAAGAGAGTTTGAATTACCGAGGAAGCCTGAAATGACAAGAGAGAAAAGTTCGGCAGTCAAGGAACTTTCTATAAAACTTCATGCTGATGCAGCAAAAGAGAAACATAAACTAGAGGAAGAGGAAGGTGTTAAAACTAGGATGGCTTCCTACAGAGCACAAGCTTCAGGATCAAAAGAACACATAAATGTTCACGAGGAATCTTCCATTAATGATGAAGTTCCTTCTTCTGAAGACGGAGAAGTAGATCAATCATAGAAAGAATTTATTTGCAACACTAAGAGAGATGACTGAAGCAACAAGGAAGACTAGGAATAGGCTAATTTTTTGTGTTGTCTTATCTATTATCATGTAACTTTTAAATTCTAATGAAATTTCCCTTTTTTTGTTTCCATTTATTTAAGCCAGCAAAAGCAAGTTTCATTCACTTTAAATAATCAAGAGAGAAACATAAAACATAAATTATTTAAAACAAGAACAAACTGTATAAAGTAATCTGAAAAGAGATAAGTTCACAAGCATGTCATAACACAAATAAAAGATAAACGAGCCATCAAACATATAAACAAGTTATACATCCTAGACCTAAGGTTTCTTCAATAATTCAATGACTGTCTTGAGATCATAATAGATTTCTTCTTGCCTTGCAACAATAGACTTGAATTGAGTATCCATTGAAAGCTGGTTACTAGCCATATGAATCTTCATAATCTATTGACATTCAGCAACTGCAGCTACTTTAGCTTATATATTGAGCAGTTGCTTCTGGCTAGTTACAACGACTTTTTTTGTCGAGAAGTTCTTCGGACTTTGAATGACGGAGTTAACAGACCATATGAATTTTTCCCATTTTGCATCATAAGCCACAAGATCAGTAGACGTGAATTGTTTTTCTATTATCGCTTTTGCCTCGTTATATAACCTAGTCTTAAAAACTTCTAACTGCGAAAGTACATGGTTGGGTTGAGGCTAAAAGTTGGTTATGTGCTGAGATGGTTTGGATGTGTTTTTTTCATCTTTTAGCAGGGTTTCATGAACATATTCAACAGAGTTTTCTTTGCTTAAAGCACGATTTGATGGGGATATGTGTTGGGTGGTTTCCTGATGGATTGATGGTAAAG